TTTAGATTTCTGCAAACTGTACAACATTGATGTGGGTATTATTTCAATTAACCTGGAGAAGGCGTTTGATTGTGTCAATCACTCTTTTCTATTTGCCACACTGCAGGCTTTGGGTGTCGGGGCGCACTTGTTGTCCTGGGGGAAGTTGTTGTACAGTGGTGCCTGTTGTGAAGGTATTCCAGTAAACAGAGGGATCAGCAGTAGCTATGAACATACACAGAGCTCACTTTGACCCACGCTCTGGGAGGGTTGCAGCTTTCTGTTCACTAGCAGAGACCTTAGACCACCTGGTGGTGTCCTGTCCCCGATTGGTTGATGTTTTTAAACTTCTGCAGAAGTGGGTGGGGGGGTTTGGGAGAGGTTTTCTCTGTTCCCTAGTTAGTTAGTTAGTCTTAGCCTTTTCTTTCGAGTTCATTTTGGTCCAAACTCTGGTTTTAATTCATTTTATTTTTGCAAGTGCCAAGCTGGCGTTCTGGAAAAAAGTAGGCTGGACCCAGCACACTGTCTGAGGGGTTTGGTGGCGGTCTGTCTGAGGGTAGAACACACAATTTAGACTAAGCAACAACTTGGATGCTGTCATGGCTGTGTGGGCGGTTAGAAGGGTCCTGTGCTTACTGGGGGAGGGTGGCTCTTTGGTATTGTGTTTTTCAAATGACATTTATTTTGGTTTATTTTCAGTGTTTGTGAAATTAATCACGTATCATTCGTTTACTCTGAAAAGGGTATTTTAAGGATTTTTAAATGTTTCATAAAGTCCAGTCATCATCCTCTTCTTGAGTTTATTTCTAAAGTTTAGAAACTTACAGTTTATTGTGACCTACTCCACCTTCATGTTTCTCTGTTTTTGCTCAGCTGTAACCTGCAGAAGGCTCCGCCCCAGTCAGGCCCCCCCGCCCCTCCAGCCCCTCCAGCCCCTGGAACCTCAGCTCGGTGGAACAACGAGACAATTAAGGAGGACGCAGTGGAGGCTGCGGTGAAGGACGCCAGGGACTTTAAACGAGTCCAATTCAACCTGGAGTCCCTAAACACCCGCCGCCTGCTCGCACGCATCTCCAAGGGGAGTGGGGCTAAATGTGAGGGGGGGGCCAGCCAAGCCACCGGCTGCTCCTAACAGCCGAGTGTGCCAGAACGGTGGACCTGCAGCTTCATTAGCAAGTTTGGTGCTGTCCCTCCCCTCATCGTCTTCCCCCTCTGCATGTCCAAATTCCTCTGCCCCACCCTCTATACTTATAGCCCCCCTCCCTGCAATAAAGGCCCCTCCTTCCTCCAATGTGGCCCCGCCAAAGCCTGGCGAGCTGCAGGAGCTGCAGGAGCAGATCGAGCAGATGAGGGAGAAGTTGAGGACTGCTCTGGCAAGGAGGGCAGAGATCCAGACCACTCTTACCAAACCTGTGGTCACAGAGACAAACACTGCCGCTCCTGTTACCACGACAACAACAGAAACAAAAACAACAACAACATCAGCCCTTCCTAGTGTTGCCGCCGTAACAACAGTGCCTGACCACACAAAGTGTGTGACAACCATGACAGACCCTCCCCACAAAGTCCTGTCCAAAGTCCGGCCCTTTCCCAGAAGATTTGCCAATCAGAGGAGGTGATGATTTCTGTTCACATGAACCACTGCACACGGCGGCCATTTTGAACTGCTGACAGAGAGTAGAAATTTAACCCGTTGTTTTCATTAGTTTAGATTTAAACCTTAATTTTTTGAGTGTATTTAGATATTAGTTTGCTTCTTTAACAGTTTTTTCTGATGTAGAAACATTAAAACAGTAAATTGATTTATATCTCTAGCCATTGATTGAATATAAAACATTCTTTAAATATTAATTGCTTCATATAGAATGTCTATATAAGATTAAATAGTTGTGACAGATAAAATTATCAAAATGGATACAATTATTAGCTCTTTGATCAGATTGCTAAAAATGGCCGCCATGACTCGACAGTTTCATGAGGCGCCGTGGATTCTGGCGCTGCAGAAACTGGACTTCCTGTTAGATAGAAAACTACAGGAGCCTCAGAAGACAAAAAACCTGCAGCTCATGAAAACCAATCACCAGACAAAGCCCAGAAGCCGGTTATCAGATAAACCAGAACCATGACGGCCCTTTTACTCAGACTCTAGACTACTTTCTGAAGCAATAAAATAAAGTTTGTTGTTTGTGCCTCGAATGTTCCGGCACTTCCGGTCGTCGGATTCAGGTTTCTATATTAATAAACAAAAACAAAGGTCACCTTCGCTCAGAGATCAATCAAGTGTTTCAAAGTGGGAACTGGACTGACAAAATGAAGGGTTCTTTAAGTTCTACTTTGAAACCCAGTCCCTTCACTTCTGTTTAGTTCATCCTCTTATTATGGGATGGTTGAATACTTTTCTTTTCTATGAAGGAACTTTTGATCATTTGATGTTGACAGTTAAAGAACAAAACATTAAGTGAAATAAAATCTGTACTTTGATTAATAAGTTTTGTTTTTGTAAACTCCTTGATTTGACCTTTGAAACCCTTGAAGTCATGTAACAGAGAATCACTGAGGAAAGCTGGAGGGCATCTTAAACTAAAGGTCTCTGGAAGATAAGTCAGGGGTCTTTTATCAGGTATTTGTGATGACATTTAACATGAAGAGACATTTTACAATTGTATTGAGTGAATGAACTCTGGTGTTTTAATCCTCTGATACGCTGGTGGTCGGTTCATTATTCTACAGAGGGGGCACAATGTCTCACAGATGAACTGGGATGTACATCTAAAGCCCCATTTCCACCAAGCAGTCTGGTTCAGTTCAGTACACTTTGGTTCAGTACGGTACAGTCATCTAGCTTTTGTTTCAACAGCCTGCCGTACCCTTGATTGGTAAGTGGTAGGTAAGCTGGATGGCAATTGGGCGTCAGCTACAGAATAGAGTGAAATCATTGCGGCCTGACAGTGTAGCCCTCCAATAAATTCAACAAAGAAGTAGAAGGTGACACAGTAAACAAAGGACAACAATGGAGGACATCCAGCAGAGGTCAGCACCTCTGTGGTCGTCCATGAGGCGGAGCTACAAGCCGACCAATCAACAGACTGCAGTGTGTCTAGCTCTGCCCTTTAGGGTCAGATCAGTACAGTTGGCACCCCAACAGGGGGTCTTGACTACAGGGGGTGCCTGAGATATCTGGGGGGCTCTGTCTACTCTGAGGTTGTCAAAATTAGATTTGCAAATATTAAGTAAAACCATGTTTAAAGATTACTGTGACATTGTAGGCATTTTCTGATTTTATTGTTGAAAACTTTTCAAAGTTATGTTAATTTTTTGGCTTTGTCACTAAACCCTAAACAAATATGTCACCAACTCAGCAAACTGTGGAGAAGAGAAACTCTCGAGGACAGAGCAATGAGCACTCTGGAGGAAGGAGCTCAGAGCAGTGACCACATGAGCACTATTGAGGAGAGAACTTAGAGCAGTGACCACATGAGCACTATCGAGGAGAGAGCTTAGAGCAGTCACCACATGAGCACATTTGCCAACAGTTCAAACTGATCTGGCTCTGGACCGCCACAGTTGTGGTCTACAGGGGATTCCGGAGGAGAGAAGTCCTTCAAACCACATTTCTGTCCCTGAAGTGTCAGACCCGCTTCTCGAGTCTTCGCTCATTGTCAATCAGTTTATGGGTGCATGTTTGTGTGTGAGGTCAGTTAGTGTGTGTGGTTCTTACCTGAATTACAGGTGTTTTCTTCTTGATTTTGTATAATGTTGCTTATTAGTAGCATCCTGAATGCAAGGGTACCCCAACCATCCATCCAACTATTTATCAGACCAACCATCCAACCAACAGACCAAACCATCCATCCATCTAAATATATAGCAGACCAACCATCCAAACAACCATCCAAACAAACCAACCATCCATCTATCCAAACAGACCAACCATCCATCCAATTATGCAAGAGACCAAACATCTATCCAGACAAACTATCCAAACAACAGACCAACCTTACAACAAACTGTCTAACAGACCAACAATCCATCCAACTGACCAACCATCAATCCGTCCAAACAGACCAACCATCCATCTACATACATAGCAGATCAACCATCCAAACAACTATCCAACAGACCAACATCCAACCGACTATCCAAACAGACCAACATCCATCCAACTATCTGACACACCATCCAAACAACTATCTAATAGACCGAACTATCAGACAAACCATCCAAAAAGATCAACATCAATCCAACAGACCACCATCCAACCATCCATCCAACCAACTATCCAACAGACCGAACCATCTAACCAACCATCCATCCAACTATCCAACAGACCACCATCCATCCAACATACCAAACCATTCATCCAACATACCAAACATCCAAACAAACCAACCATCCATCCAACAGACCAACATCCATCCAACTAACAGACCAACCATCCATCTAATTATGCAGATGGATGATCTAACAGACCACCATCCAACCAACCATCCAAACAGACTAACCATCCAGCAGCAGACCGAACCATCTAACCAACCATCCATCAAACTATCCAACTATCTGACACACCATCCAAACTATCTAATAGACCGAACTATCAGACAAACCATCCAAAAAGACCAACATCAATCCAACAGACCACCATCCAACCATCCATTCAACAGACCGAACCATCTAACCAACCATCCATCCAACTATCAACAGACCATCCATCCAACATACCAAACCATCCAACCATCCAACATACCAAACCATCCATCCAACCAGCTATCCAACAGACCACCATCCAACCGACTATCCAAACAGACCAACATCCATCCAACATACCAAACAAACCAACCATCCATCCAACCAACTATCCAACAGACCACCATCCAACCATCCATTCAACAGACCAAACCATCTAACCAACCATCCATCCAGCTATCCAACAGACCACCATCCAACCAACCATCCAAACAGACCAGCCAATCATTCAACCATCCAACAAATGAATTAAAATCAGTCCAATGATCAAAGCATTCTGAAAAAAGAAATCAGAATTTATTGAAAACGTTGTTTTTAGTCTGTAGTTACTGTCATCGCTTAATTTATTTGTTCTTTAGAAGGATTGTTCACTGATGTTATGGTTTTAAATATCTAAAGCGTTGTGTTTTTACAGAACCTCAACTGTCTCTGTGTTACAAACAGAATGTTTCAATAAAGATGCTTTTATTTTGACAGTGTAGCCTGATCACATGACCTTCACTAGTTTTATACATTTAGCTGATATAACAGGACAGTCGGGTACAGTTGATGAGTAATCTACCATAGGCACAAAGAGAAAAACTAAACCCCCCCCCCCAACTAAACTGGTGCTGATGTCACACTCAGGCTCCACCTCCTTCACAACACACACGTGTCTGTGTGCGTGTGTGAGATGAGGCAGGCTGCGTTCAGGTGAGTCAGGACAGAAGGCCACTGGAAGTTTCCTCTGCTGTTTAACACCAACATGTAAAGAACATCGGCCTCTTGTGGCCAAAATGAGAATTACAAGAAACACTTGCATTATTTTCAGAAAAACAGATCAGTGCTGTGTTTAAAGATTACAGTGCCCAATAACCAATCAAACACTCTGTTTATCTTCAGAGAGATGGGACTGAGTCTGTCAATAAAAATATGTTTACCAGAAATTAAACAATTCTTGAAATCTTTTATTTTATTATCGGCTTGTTTTTTGGCTCTCAGTTTTCCCAAGCAGACCAGCAGCACCTGAACACATCGTCTGCTTCTCAGTTTCAATCTACTAAATTCATCACAGTGACAGGCCACACCCTCCATCAGGAGACGGAGCCTGAGTGACACAACTGGCGTCATATTGCACATCCAATCAGCTCGCTTGGCTGTCTTCAGAAGTGTCCACAGACGTGCGAGGATTATTGATAAGGCATCGATCCGACAGAAGTCCTGATCAGCTGATCTCTCAGTCCGCCAACGCCACTGCCAACGCCAGGCAAACGTCTTGCTCTCCAAGAGTCTCATTCTTCAAAATAAAAGCATGTGAAAAAGAAATCAAAAGTCCCAGTTTGTGTTTCAGTCTGTCAGAATCAGGCTGATAAGTAACCGATCAATCATCATATTTAGCAACAGTCTGAAGATCAATCAGTTCCTTGAAGATTACATCAAATTGATCTGTTTCTGATCAGACTGATTGATCAACCCCTCAACTTATCAATTGAATATCTGTATCAATTAAAAATAACGTTTAGAATCAATGACCCGATCAGCTGATCAATGACCCGATCAGCTGATCAATGACCCGATCAGATCAAAGACCCGATCAGCTGATCAATGACCCGATCAGATCATCAAAGACCCGATCAGATGATCCCAGTCCTAATCAGCTGATCACTGATCGATGACCTGATCAGACAGACTGAGGGGTGATGATGTAATCAGGACGGGCTCTGTGGTGCTCTACAGTCTGGTCCTGGACTCGGAGAGGAGGTGCAGTCTGTCTGTGGGGGGGCCTCCTCAGAGGGCCCCGTCACTTCCATGAAGAGCCCCGCAGCCTCCACATGGAGCTGTCTGAGTAGAGGATCAGGACCTCCTCCTGTTGTGGTTTTATTTTCTACTGAAGCCACATTTAGTTCTTCTAAATCTACACCTGATGCTCCTCCTCCTCCTGATGCTCCGCCCTCTCCTCCTGATGCTCCTCCCTCTCCTCCTGATGCTCCTCCCTCTCCTCCTGATGCTCCTCCTCCTGATGCTCCTCCCTCTCCTCCTGATGCTCCTCCCTCTCCTCCTACTTCTCCTGACGCTTCTCCCTCCCCTCCTTCCGATGCTCCTCCCATCCAGAACTCAGCAACTACACTAAGCTGTGCGCCTGCTGATACCTGATCTCCCAAGGCTCCTCCTCCTTCTAAGGGGGGGAGGTGCTGGGAGGGGGAGGACAGAGCCTCTGTGATGATAGCAGCGGTCTGAGCTACCCAGTTCAGTTCAGCTCTCACCTCCCCTACTTCTCCTGCTCCAGAAAGGGAGGAGGAGGACGGCTGGGTGTCCGTCTCAGGCCCTTGGGCCAGGCTGCTGGAGGAGCCGGGCTGGGGGATTGGTCCTGTTCCCGGTCCTGGTCTGTGGTTGTTGTTCAGGTTGTCCTGCAGAGCTGTTTGCTGGTTCTGACCCGCCTGTTGGTTCTGAAGCAACATCTCCTGAATCCTGATCTGCTGCAGGATCGCAGGTAACTCATAGTGATGGAAGAAGTAGATCATGGAATGCTGGGAGGGAGGAGGAAACAGGAGAGTAGGAGGAGGAGGAAACAAGAGACAAGGAGGAAGAAGAGGAGGAGGAAACAGGAGACGAGAAGGAAGAAGAGTAGGAGGAAACAGGAGAGGAGGAGGAAACAGGAGACGAGGAGGAAACAGGAAACGAGGAGGAAGAAGAGGAGGAGGAAACAGGAAACGAGGAGGAGGAGGAAACAGGAGACGAGGAGGAAGAAGAGGAGGAGGAAACAGGAAACGAGGAGGAAGAAGAGGAGGAGGAAACAGGAGACGAGGAAGAAGAGGAAACAGGAGACGAGGAGGAAGAAGAGGAGGAAACAGGAGACGAGGAGGAAGAAGAGGAAACAGGAGACGAGGAGAAAGAAGAGGAGGAGGAAACAGGAGACGAGGAGGAGGGGGGAGGAAACAGGAGACGAGGAGGAGGGGGAGGAAACAGGAGACAAGGAGGAGGGGGAGGAAACAGGAGACGAGGAGGAGGAAGAGGAAGAGGAGGAAACAGGAGACGAGGAGGAAGATGAGGAAACAGGAGAAGAGGAAGAGGAGGAAACAGGAGAGGAGGAGGAGGAGGAAACAGGAGACAAGGAGGAGGAGGAAACAGGAGACGAGGAGGAGGAGGAAACAGGAGACGAGGAGGACGAGGAAACAGGAGACGAAGAGGACGAGGAGGACGAGGAAACAGGAGACGAGGAGGACGAGGAAACAGGAGACGAGGAGGAGGAGGAAACAGGAGGCGAGGAGGAAGAAGAGAAAACAGGAGACGAGGAGGAAGAAGAGGAGGAGGAAACAGGAGACGAGGAGGAGGAGGAAACAGGAGACGAGGAGGAGGAAACAGGAGACAAGGAGGAGGGGGAGGAAACAGGAGACAAGGAGGAGGGGGAGGAAACAGGAGACGAGGAGGAAGAGGAGGAAACAGGAGAAGAGGAGGAGGAAGAGGAGGAAACAGGAGACGAGGAGGAGGGGAGGAAACAGGAGACGAGGAGGAAGAAGAGGAGGAGGAACATAAGAAAAAAAATGTCAGTGATCATCATCATGTATGGAGGTCAGAGGTCACAATAAACATGATGGTGGACAGTCAACTGTAACTGTATGCTAACACAACGATGCTAACAGGAAACAGTGTTTGAGCCTCTGTACACACATTTACACGAACACACACACTAGTAGAGCTGTCAGTCAAACAAACTTGGCTACACCAATCAATCGTGGACCTGAACACTAACACCGGTGTACACCGGCTGACTCCTCCCCGTGACTGCTGGTTGGCTGCTTCAGGTCCTTCAGAGTTGATAACAAGGTCTGTCCTCGTTTAACATTCAGGGGTCTCACCTGGATGAAGAGCCAGGAGGTGACGAGGGCGAGGCTGCTGTACTGCCCGTTAAAGCGGTAATGATAGGCGTAGAAGGCAAAGTGGTACAGGTAGAAGAACCTGCAACACAAACACACCTGTAACTAATCAAAACTCCACTTTAACAAGTCATTAAAAATGATGACTCACTGATGACATCACAATCATTTTTAATGTTTGTTTTTTTTAAGATTTATTTTGGGCTTTTTCGTACCTTTAATTCAGAGAGAGGACAGTGGATAGAGTCAGAAACCAGAGAGAGAGGACAGTGGATAGAGTCAGAAACCAGAGAGAGAGGACAGTGGATAGAGTCTGAAACCAGAGAGAGAGAGAGGACAGTGGATAGAGTCTGAAACCAGGGAGAGAGAGGACAGTGGATAGAGTCTGAAACCAGAGAGAGAGAGAGGACAGTGGATAGAGTCTGAAACCAGAGAGAGAGAGGACAGTGGATAGAGTCTGAAACCAGAGAGAGAGGACAGTGGATAGAGTCAGAAACCAGAGAGAGAGGACAGTGGATAGAGTCTGAAACCAGAGAGAGAGAGGACAGTGGATAGAGTCTGAAACCAGAGAGAGAGAGGACAGTGGATAGAGTCTGAAACCAGAGAGAGAGAGAGGACAGTGGATAGAGTCAGAAACCAGAGAGAGAGAGAGGACAGTGGATAGAGTCAGAAACCAGAGAGAGAGGACAGTGGATAGAGTCTGAAACCAGAGAGAGAGAGGACAGTGGATAGAGTCTGAAACCAGAGAGAGAGAGAGGACAGTGGCTAGAGTCTGAAACCAGAGAGAGAGAGATGACAGTGGATAGAGTCAGAAACAGAGAGAGAGAGAGGACAGTGGATAGAGTCTGAAACCAGAGAGAGAGAGAGGACAGTGGATAGAGTCAGAAACCAGAGAGAGAGAGGACAGTGGATAGAGTCAGAAACCAGAGAGAGAGAGGACAGTGGATAGAGTCAGAAACCAGAGAGAGAGAGGACAGTGGATAGAGTCAGAACCAGAGAGAGAGAGGACAGTGGATAGAGTCAGAAACCAGAGAGAGAGAGAGGACAGTGGATAGAGTCAGAAACCAGAGAGAGAGAGGACAGTGGATAGAGTCTGAAACCAGAGAGAGAGAGGACAGTGGATAGAGTCGGAAACCAGAGAGAGAGAGAGGACAGTGGATAGAGTCGGAAACCAGAGAGAGAGAGAGGACAGTGGATAGAGTCTGAAACCAGAGAGAGAGAGGACAGTGGATAGAGTCTGAAACCAGAGAGAGAGAGGACAGTGGATAGAGTCTGAAACCAGAGAGAGAGAGGACAGTGGATAGAGTCTGAAACCAGAGAGAGAGAGGACAGTGGATAGAGTCAGAAACCAGAGAGAGAGAGAGGACAGTGGATAGAGTCGGAAACCAGAGAGAGAGAGAGGACAGTGGATAGAGTCTGAAACCAGAGAGAGAGAGAGGACAGTGGATAGAGTCAGAAACAGAGAGAGAGGACAGTGGATAGAGTCTGAACCAGAGAGAGAGAGAGGACAGTGGATAGAGTCAGAAACCAGAGAGAGAGAGGACAGTGGATAGAGTCTGAAACCAGAGAGAGAGAGAGGACAGTGGATAGAGTCAGAAACCAGAGAGAGAGGACAGTGGATAGAGTCTGAAACCAGAGAGAGAGAGGACAGTGGATAGAGTCAGAAACCAGAGAGAGAGAGGACAGTGGATAGAGTCAGAAACCAGAGAGAGAGAGAGGACAGTGGATAGAGTCAGAAACCAGAGAGAGAGAGGACAGTGGATAGAGTCAGAAACCAGAGAGAGAGGACAGTGGATAGAGTCTGAAACCAGAGAGAGAGAGAGGACAGTGGATAGAGTCGGAAACCAGGGGAGAGAGAGAGCGGGGAATGACATGCGGAAAGGGGCCACAAGACGAGAGTCTCAACACATGGGACGCGCACCCTGCCACTGCGCCACCAGCGCGCCCCAATGTTTAATGTTTTGACATTTAAAGTGTGTTATATATTGAAGATGTAAATATCTTCAGTGAGACTCATGAAGTAAACAAACATTTAACTTTAAACTATTTTTGCTAAATTAACTTATCTGTTGCTCTCCATGTTTTTAAAACATTTACATAATTTTTTTTTACTGAAATCCTTAACGACAGTTTTTCATGCTGCGCTGTTATTGGTTATAACCAGCCAATGGTGCGAGCCACTGCTGGTCATGTGACTCACCTCAGCCAGTGGCGTTTACTGGTGTTGGTGTGACAGCAGATGGCATCATACTGATCGGCCAACCAGACAATGAGGATAATGTAAAACGCCGTTGTTGTGTCATTGAAGAACTCTGACATGATGGCCTCCATGCCTGATGACAGGAAGTGACATCATAGTTCAGCTTGGAGGTTTGTCCAAAAAAAATCCAAACAATCACCTGCTTCAGACTTATCAGACAGACTCCCCTTAAGACCGGGGAGCTGGGACCTGAACTGGACCAGAATCAGTTTGTAGAAAGTGAACTCACCGACAAGGGCAAGAATGACAGTGAGCAGAGGGGCTGCTGGGAAGGCGATGGTCATGTTCATCTCCAACATCTGAAGCAGATCCACTGAGGGAGACAAATTAATAAGATCACAACTTCACAATCACACACTGATGGTAGAGGCTGCTGAGTAAAGAGTCCATCAGTATTAACTCATCCATTCATACACATTCACACACTGATGGTAGAGGCTGCTGAGTAAAGAGTCCATCAGTAGTGATTCTGGTTTAGTCTGCTTAAGGGCGCGGTCACACTGGCCATCCGTACAGTGCCGTACTCAAGCACGATCCATGAAACTCTGGATTTCTCCATAATGAAGGCTGTCAGTGTTGTGTACCCGCGTGCTTGTGCTCGTGCATGAAGTGTACCGTGCCGAAGCACACCACCCCGAAGTGTGCCAAAGCCAAGGAAGTGTACCGTGCCTGAGCATTGCACGGAGCACTCAGACTGGCCAAACGAACTGGACTTTAGGGTTGAAGTGTGCTTGGGCACGGTACGGATGGCCAGTGTGACCGCGCCGTAAGTCTGGCCTTGCTTGGCCCGGTTTAGTCTGATTCTTTGTGGTCTGGTCTTGTTTTATCTGGATAGGTGGTGATGTTTCAAACTGACCAATGAAGACAAAGATCTGGTGGTGAGAGTATCTGAGCAGCATGGACACAGAGAGAGTCTGAAAAATACAAAGCAGACACAGGATCAGTGAATGCATCACCACATCTTTAATCCTGTCCTGTCATTAGATACTAATTCATCTGTTTCCTCAGACTCATCAAATGATAAAAATTTGTTTTTTTCAGGCGGCATCAGATGTGAATGTGTCACTTACGAAGATGACCATGATGACGAAGGCTGCCAGGTACGAGGTTCTGGCCATCCACATGCTAACGAAGCGGTAATGTTCTCCAGAGACCACGTTCCTCAGGAACCCTAGAGAGAACCACAGTGACATCATCAACCTGCTGACCCACAGGTAGAACATTCCTGCCTGTTAGACTAGGGCTTAGACAAACTGCGGTACCTTTGTTCTCTTCATTCTCCGCGAGCGCCTTCACACTCGACATCAGGATGTCGTCGTATCCCAGAAACTCGTCTAACAGGAAGCGACTGAAACCATCCCCGAAACACTCGTCCTTCATCGGGTCTGAACACAAAGTTATATGATGTAAAGAGGGACGCAGGTGTGACAAACACAGGTGTGATGGTGACAGCTGAATGGTGACAGGTGTGAGGCAGACAGGTGTGATGGTGACAGGTGTGAGGCAGACAGGTGTGACGGTGACAACTGAATGGTGACAGGTGTGATAGTGACAGCTGAATGGTGACAGGTGTGATAGTGACAGCTGAATGGTGACAGGTGTGAGGCAGACAGGTGTGACGGTGACAACTGAATGGTGACAGGTGTGATAGTGACAGCTGAATGGTGACAGGTGTGATAGTGACAGCTGAATGGTGACAGGTGTGATAGTGACAGCTGAATGGTGACAGGTGTGAGGCAGATAGGTGTGATGGTGACAGCTGAATGGTGACAGGTGTGATAGTGACAGCTGAATGGTGACAGGTGTGAGGCAGACAGGTGTGATGGTGACAGGTGTGATAGTGACAGGTGTGATAGTGACAGGTGTGATAGTGACAGCTGAATGGTGACAGCTGAATGGTGACAGGTGTGAGGCAGACAGGTATGATGGTGACAGGTGTGATAGTGACAGCTGAATGGTGACAGGTGTGATAAACACAGGTGTGATAAACAGGTGTGATGCAGACAGGTGTGATGGTGACTGGTGTGATAAACAAAGGTGTGATAAACACAGGTGTGATGCAGACAGGTGTGATGGTGACAGGTGTGATAGTGACAGCTGAATGGTGACAGCTGAATGGTGACAGGTGTGAGGCAGACAGGTATGATGGTGACAGGTGTGATAGTGACAGCTGAATGTTGACAGGTGTGATAGTGACTGCTGAATGGTGACAGGTGTGATGGTGACAGGTGTGATGGTGACAGGTGTGATGGTGACTGCTGAATGGTGACAGGTGTGAGGCAGACAGGTGTGATGGTGACAGCTGAATGGTGACAGGTGTGATAATGACTGCTGAATGGTGACAGGTGTGAGGCAGACAGGTGTGAGGCAGACAGCTGAGATAGTGACAGCTGAGATAGTGACAGCTAAATGGTGACAGCTGAATGGTGACAGGTGTGATAGTGACAGCTGAATGGTGACAGGTGTGATAGCGACAGCTGAATGGTGACAGGTGTGATAGTGACTGCTGAATGGTGACAGGTGTGAGGCAGACAGGTGTGATAGTGACTGCTGAATGGTGACAGGTGTGAGGCAGACAGGTGTAATAGTGACAGCTGAATGGTGACAGGTGTGATGGTGACAACTGAATGGTGACAGGTGTGATAGTGACAGCTGAATGGTGACAGGTGTGATAGTGACAGCTGAATGGTGACAGGTGTGATAGTGACAGCTGAATGGTGACAGGTGTGAGGCAGACAGGTGTGATAGTGACAGCTGAATGGTGACAGGTGTGATGGTGACAGGTGTGATAGTGACAGCTGAATGGTGACAGGTGTGAGGCAGACAGGTATGATGGTGACAGGTGTGATGGTGACAGGTGTGATGGTGACAGCTGAATGGTGACAGGTGTGAGGCAGATAGGTGTGATGGTGACAGCTGAATGGTGACAGGTGTGATAGTGACAGCTGAATGGTGACAGGTGTGAGGCAGACAGGTGTGATGGTGACAGCTGAATGGTGACAGGTGTGATGGTGACAGCTGAATGGTGACAGGTGTGAGGCAGACAGGTGTGATAGCGACAGCTGAATGTTGACAGGTGTGATAGTGACTCCTGAATGGTGACAGATGTGATTGTGACAGGTGTGATGGTGACTGCTGAATGGTGACAGGTGTGATAGTGACAGCTGAATGGTGACAGATGTGAGGCAGACAGGTGTGATGGTGACAACTGAATGGTGACAGGTGTGATAGTGACAGCTGAATGGTGACAGATGTGAGGCAGACAGGTGTGATGGTGACAGGTGTGATAATGACTGCTGAATGGTGACAGGTGTGATAATGACTGCTGAATGGTGACAGGTGTGAGGCAGACAGGTGTGATAGTGACAGCTGAGATAGTGACAGCTGAATGGTGACAGCTGAATGGTGACAGGTGTGATAGTGACAGCTGAATGGTGACAGGTGTGAGGCAGACAGGTGTGATAGTGACAGCTGAATGGTGACAGGTGTGAGGCAGACAGGTGTGATAGTGACAGTTGAATGGTGACAGGTGTGATAGTGACAGCTGAATGGTGACAGCTGAATGGTGACAGGTGTGATAGTGACAGCTGAATGGTGACAGCTGAATGGTGCCAGGTGTGATAGCGACAGCTGAATGGTGACAGGTGTGATAGTGACTGCTGAATGGTGACAGGTGTGAGGCAGACAGGTGTGATGGTGACAGCTGAAT